TAATTGTAAGATTTGTGTGGATTATGAATGTGAATATGATTGTGATTCATCACACAAATAACCAGGGATGGCACAACCTTTGGGTAAGTGATGCTTCAAGGACGGCGTGACCTTGGCATAGTGTGGGATGTGTGAGGCAATTAACACGTATCACTTATGTTAGATGTGGCATAGCCTTGACATAGTGTTAATTGTAAGATTTGTGTGGATTATGAATGTGAATATGATTGTGGTTCCTCACACTAATGACTTGGGATGGCACGGCCCTTTGGTAACTGATGCTAAGGACAACATGACCTTGGCATAATATAGAATGTGTGAGGCAATTAACACGTATAATTTATGTCAGATGTGGCGTGGCCTTGGCATAGTCTTAATTGTAAGATTTGTGTGGATTATGAATGTGAATATGATTGTGATTCCTCATACCAATAACCATGGATGGCACGACCCTTGGGTAAGTGATGCTACAAGGACAGCGTGACTTTGGCATAGTGTGGGATCTGTGAGGCAATTAACACGTATCACTTATGTCAGATGTGGCGTGGCCATGGCATAATGCTAATTGTAAAAATTTTTTGGATTATGAATGTGAATATGATTGTGATTCCTCATACCAATAACCATGGATGGCACGACCCTTGGGTAAGTGATGCTACAAGGACAGCGTGACTTTGGCATAGTGTGGGATCTGTGAGGCAATTAACACGTATCACTTATGTCAGATGTGGCGTGGCCATGGCATAATGCTAATTGTAAAAATTTTTTGGATTATGAATGTGAATATGATTGTGATTCCTCATACCAATAACCATGGATGGCACGACCCTTGGGTAAGTGATGCTACAAGGACAGCGTGACTTTGGCATAGTGTGGGATCTGTGAGGCAATTAACACGTATCACTTATGTCAGATGTGGCCCGGCCTTGTCCTAGTGTTAACTGTAAGATTTGTATGGATTATGAATGAGAATATGATTGTTATTCCTCACACTAATGACCAGGTACGGCAAAACCATTGGGTAAGTGATGCTACAAGGACGCCGTGACCTTGGCATAGTGTGGGAAGTGTGAGGCAATTAACATGAATCACTTATGTCAGATGTGGCATAGCCTTGGCATAGTGTTAATTGTAAGATTTGTGTGGATTATGATTATGAATATGATTGTGGTTCTTCACAGTAATGACTAGGGATGGCATAACCCTTGGTTAAGTGATGCTATAAGGACGGCGTGACCTTGGCATAGTGCGGGATGTGTGAGTAAATTAACACGTATCACTTATGTCAAATGTGGCGTAGCCTTGGCATAGTGTTAATTGTAAGATTTGTATGGATTATGAATGTGAATATGATTGTGGTTCCTCACACTAATGACCTGGGATGGCACGGCCCTTTGGTAAGTGATGCTACAAGGACAACATGACCTTGGCATAATGTGGGATGTCTGAGGCAATTAACACGTATCATTTATGTCAGATGTGGCATGGCCTTGGCATAGTCTTAATTGTTAGATTTGTGTGGATTATAAATGTGAATATGATTGTGATTCCTCACACTAATGACTAGGGATGGCACGACCCTTGGGTAAGTGATGCTACAAGGATGATGTTACCTTGGCATAGTGTGGGATGTGTGAGGTAATTAACACGTATCACTTAGGTCAGATGTGGCGTGGCCATGGCATAATGCTAATTGTAAGGTTTGTGCGGATTATGATTGTGAATATGATTGTGATTCCTCACACCAATAACCATGGATGGCACGACCCTTGGGTAAGTGATGCTTCAAGGACGACGTGACTTTGGCATAGTGTGGGATCTGTGAGGCAATTAACACGTATCACTCATGTCAGATGTGGCGCGGCCTTGGCATAGTGTTAACTGTAAGATTTGTGTGGATTATGAATGAGAATATGATTGTTATTCCTCACACTAATGACCAGGTATGGCAAAACCATTGGGTAAGTGATGCTACAAGGATGGCGTGACCTTGGCATAGTGTGGGATTGATAATGTTAATTTTTACTTACATTCTAGTACCAAATTTGTTAACACATTCAACGCTTTTCTAACTTTTGACTTATGCAATCCTCAATTTAACTTCTCTTTTGTAAGTAAAGACACTTTGGTTACACATACAGGCTTATACATATTTAATACTCCTTTTTTGTGATTTTCTTGGATAGGTAATCATGTTGAAAGAAGCCATGTCAAAGAGAAGAAGCTGGATGGAACTCCTTCCATCACGCGCCAAGCGCGTATATTATCGCGCTGAGCACGTCACTTAAAGAGTTGCGTAGATTGATATAATTTCTGGCTGAGCGCGAAGAAAAATGGATCTGGAAGCAGAACCAAACGAGGAGCAGAGCGCAGGTCTGAAGGGGAGAAGCTAGGGCTCATCTCTTCACCATTGTTTCTCATTTGTTTTCTTCCATTCTTACTCTTTTGGTGTATCTTGCTAATCTCATGGACATGGATTGCTAAAACCCCTTTGTTGGGGTTAGATGTAGCCAACTTGACTCTCATGTAACTTGTTTGAATATATATATATATATCTTCTTCATTCAAATGTTAGTATCATGTTCTTGTGCTTAATGCTTGTATGGAATGATCAACTATTACATGATTTGTGATTACTTTTGGTGTGGGAATATCATTGGTAATCTTGTTTGAGAATGTGGTACCTTGTAAACTTGTGTCTAGGAATGGAACATGAGTTACTTGTTGTTTTAAGCCCTTAAACTTAATGCAAGTGGATTTATTGAAATATTCAGGGGATTGATTTTTGGTAATGAAACTTAGGCTCTTTTAACCAAGGAATTGGAATTTGAGAAAATTAGTGGGCTAGCATTAATATTTTAATGAGAAGGAATGTTTTTTTATGCATGAAATTAAAGTTGGTGAAATCTAACCCTAACATTTCATTCATATAAGTCAATCTCCAAAACCGCATTTCAAGCGTTTGATGAAAGTTCACTTTGGTTCATTTTTCTCTTTTTAGCTTAAAAATTACAATCAACCAAATATGAAATAATTCTTTAGTCTGTATTAGCTTAAATTCCACATATTGCCATTGTATTACTCAAGTCCCTTGGGAAGAACGACTATTACTTCTACTTACTACTTGTGCGATTGGTTCGCTTGCCATATTGGAAGAAATCGGTTAACAAGTTTTTGGCGTCGTTGTCGGGGACTTATGTCTCAATACAAGGCAATTGTGCAATTATTGTTATACTAGACTCCATTCTTTATTCTTGAATTTTCTTTCTTGTAAACCAATATTTTATTTTACTTTATCTTATTTGTGGGCTAACTTGTTGCTCTACTAAATCAACAAGTCACCCACCAAACTTCATCCTCTCAAACTATCACTACTCAACATTTTGATCTAGCTGGAGAAGGAGAAATGGCTGAAGAAGAGCATCATAATCCATTTAATCAACCTCCAAGGAGAACTATTGGGGATTCTATTCTATATACCAGCCCCGAAATTTCTCTAGCATGGTGAAGCCTGCTATGAATGAGAAGATTGCTGAAATGAAGCCAGCCCTCTTGCAACTTATAAGCTCTCATCAGTTTGCCGGGTTGGATCATGAAGACCCACATACTCATTTGTACACCTTCTATGAGTTGTGTGGCTCAGTTAGAATTTATGGGGATGATGAAGAGGCTTTGTTCATGAGGTTATTTCCACTCTCTCTTACTGGGAAGGACAAGGCTTGGCTTCAATCACAACCCAACCAAAGTCTAACCAGTTCGAGGGATGTGGAGACAAAATTTTTGGCTCGATTCTTCCCATCATCCAAGAATACGGAGGCCAAGGCCGCTATTGCTACATTTTTGCAAGGAGTTGATGAACCCTTATGTGAGGCATGGGAGAGATATAAAGCTTTGCTTAGGAAGTGTCCCAATCATGGTTTTGATATAGAGATGCAAGTTCAGACTTTTTGCAATGGTTTACAACCACAAACAAAGATGATTTTGGATGCTTCTTTTGGTGGCTCTGTTTTCTTCAAGACTGCCAATGAGGCTATCACAATCATTGAGTCTATGGCATCTACTGACTTGCGAAGCCAACATGGGAGGGGTCAAGCACAAAGGAGGGGAGTATTAGAATTAAGCACTCAAGACGCCCTCTTAGCTCAACATAAGCTTCTTACTCAACAAATCGAAGCTCTCAATCAAAAAATGGCTAAATTACCTCAACAACTCCAAGCCATGCATGCTAACCCTTGCCAAACTCAACAAGTTATGCGGTGTGATTTTTGTGGAGGTGATCATTCCAATGGCAATTGTCAAGCTCCTAGTGGCTCCCAAGGTGAAGAAGTCAACTATATGGGGAACCAAGGACGCCAAAATTTCTCTAACAATCCTTATCCTAGCTCTTACAACCAAGGGTGGAGAAACAATAATGCTCAATTTGGAGGGAAACAAGACATGGGTGCATCAAGTAGTAGACTTCACTCTCCACAACAACAACACCCACCGTTGTATGAAAGAACTACCAAGCTAGAAGATACCTTGCAGCAATTTATGCAATTATCCCTCCAAAACCAAAAGAATACAGATGCTTCAATTAAAAATTTGGAAGTGCAAGTGGGACAATTGGCCAAACAGTTAGCAGACCAGCAGAGTGGATCGTTCTCCGCTAATACACAAAAAAATCCCAAGGAGCATTGTAAGGCTGTGTCTACAAGAAGTGGGAAGAAGTTTGGAGAGAATAATCAAAATGATAGACAAGAAAATGTGATGAAAGAAAATAGCGGGGTAGAAGACAATGAGGAGAGTGTAGTGGAAGAGGTGGAGAATAAGAGAGTGAGTGGAGAAATAGAGAAAAAGAAAAAAGAGATTAAAAAGGAAGTTGGGAAAGCCCCACCTATAAAGAATCTTCCATACCCACATGCCCCTTCAAGAAAGACAAAGAAAAGCAATTTGCAAGGTTTCTAGACATTTTTAAGAGGTTGCAAATTAATATTCCGTTTTCGGACGCCTTAGAGCAAATGCCAACTTATGATAAATTTATGAAGGAGTTATTGTCAAAGAAAAGAAGATTCATTGAAGAAGAAACTATTGAGTTGGAGGGCGGTTGTAGCGCAATCATTCAGAAGTCCTTACCTCAGAAATCTAAGGATCCAGGCAGTTTCACAATCCCTGTAACCATAGGTACTCTACTTGTGGGTAAAGCCTTGTTGGACTTAGGGGCCAACATTAACTTGATGCCCTTGTCTATGATGAGAAGGATAGGAGATTTGGAGGCTAGACCTACTCGGATGACATTACAGTTAGCTGACAGATTAATTAAGTATCCTCATGGAGTGGTGGAGGACGTGTTGGTCAAGGTGGACAAGTTCATGTTCCCGGTGGATTTTGTGGTAATGGACATGGAAGAGGCTATAGAGGTTCCTCTAATACTTGGTAGGCCTTTCATGAAAGCCGCCAAGGTTATTATTGATGTGGATGATGGAAAGTTAAAAGTGAGAGTCCAAGATGAGGAAGTAAATTTCAATGTCTTTGAAGCCATGCAATACCCCAATGATAAAAATGATTGTGTGGATATACTTGATGATGTGATCTTTGCCGCTTCAAGTCAAATACATAGTCAAAGCTCTTTGGAGAAAGCCCTCATTGAAGCTTTCGAGTTTTTGAATGATGAAGAGGAGAAAGAAATTGATGGATTCCTCCTTCCATGATTGACGTAGGGATTGAAGGGAGAAAGCCTTGGCCCTTGATCTAGGTTCAACAAGGTAGACAAAATGAAGGTGTATGGTGAAGAAAAGGAAGTTGGCGTGAAAATGATGGTGTTTGGGCGGAAGCACTTAGGGTGGTGGTGTTTGGGTGCTCAAAGTTGGCTCACTCCAAGGTAGGTGGAGGCCACTCTAGGTTTCCTACTCTCCAAGGGTGGAGATAGGAGGGGGATAGCCGAAACTTACCCTAGGGACTAAGGATGAGACGTTGAGGCATAAGAATGCTCACTCAAAATCTATATAATCCAAAGTATTTACAAGTGGTGGGGTGTTGGGTATTTATAGGAGGGGAGGCATCTAGGGTTGCATTTGGAGCAATGCATGGCCGAAATTCACAAGGCAAATGCACTCCAAATGAAATGCCAAATGAACCCTAGATGCTACTTGGTGGCCAAGGATGGAATCTAAGGGGTTAGATTGGCTATTTCTAGGTGCATGATAAGTCCATGCAACCTTTGCCCTCCACTTGGGCCTAAGCCTTTCTAACACCAAAAATAGGTCCAATGCTCACCAAAAATGCGTCACCTCCTCATGTAACACCCTAGCCCAAAATTAAAACCCTAATCATCTAAAGCACCCCATAATACAAGGGTAAAATGGGAAATACAAAGAAAATAAATCCTATGACTAAAATACCCCAAAATACAAGGGTAAAATTGGAATAAAGTAATAAATTCTATACTACTCAAATTGGCCATAGCCATGAACCATGTGATGGGTCTCACATGAAGTGAAGTACCAAGGATGGTCCTCCATCAGAAATTGAGACCTGCTTAAGGAACTTGAACTCAACCAAAGAAGTTCTTGAAAGAAATATAAAATTTGAAGAATTGCATGAGAGTTTGAGGTCTGAAGAGAAAAAGTTAGAATTGAAAGTTTTGCCTTCACATCTTAAATATGTTTTTCTTGAAGAGGGTAACAACAAACCAATCATCATCAGTAGCTCCCTTTCTGAAAATAAGGAGAAGAGGTTAATTGAGGTGTTACAGCTGAACCGAGAAGCCATAGGTTGGACCCTATTTGATTTGAAAGGAATTAGTCCCTCTTATTGCATGCACAAAATTCATATGGAGCAGGACTATAGGCCTGTGGTTCAACCTCAGAGGCGTTTGAACCCAACCATGAAAGAAGTTGTAAAGAAGGAGGTTCAAAAATTGTTGGAGGCAGGGATGATCTATCCTATCTCAGACAGTGCGTGGGTTAGTCCTGTGCAAGTAGTTCCCAAGAAGGGTGGAATGACTGTAATCCACAATGAAAAGAAAGAATTGATCCCCACAATGATCTATCCTATCACAGGTTGGACTACAAGAAATTGAACAAGGCCACAAGAAAATATCACTTCCCTTTGCCCTTCATGGATCAAATGTTGGAACGGTTAGCGGGGCAAGCATACTATTATTTTTTGGACGGATATTCAGTTTATAATCAGATTGCAGTGGATCCAGAAGATCAAGAGAAAACAGCCTTCACATGCCCTTTTGGTGTTTTTTCTTACAGGAAAATGCCATTTGGGTTGTGTAATGCTCCAGCTACGTTTCAACGGTGCATGCTTGCTATCTTCTCTGACTTGGTGGAAAAATGCATTGAAGTTTTCATGGATGATTTCTCAGTTTTTGGGTCTTCTTTTGATACTTGCTTGGGCAATTTAGACACCGTACTGAAGCGGTGTGTGGAAACCAATTTGGTGCTCAATTGGGAGAAATGTCACTTCATGGTGACTGAAGGCATTGTCTTAGGCCATAAGATTTCTTGCAGGGGGATTGAGGTGGACAAAGCTAAAATTGAAGTCATTGAGAAATTACCCCCACCAGTCAACGTTAAAGGAATCAGAAGCTTCTTAGGACATACTAGGTTCTACAGGAGATTCATCAAGGATTTCTCCAAGATTGCAAAACCATTGAGCAACTTACTAAATAAGGATACCCCGTTTAAATTTGATGCAAACTATTTATCTGCTTTTGAGACCTTGAAAAACAAACTCACTTCTGCACCAGTGATCACTGCTCCTAACTGGCAATTTGGTTTTGAACTTATGTGTGATGCTAGTGATTATGTTATAGGAGCAGTGTTAGGTCAAAGAAAAGAGAAAGTTTTCCATGTGATACACTATGCAAGTAAAGTTTTAAATGACACTCAAGCTAATTATGCTACAACTGAAAAAGAACTTCTTGCCATAGTATATGCACTGGAAAAATTCAGAGCGTATCTGATTGGTTCAAAAATTATTGTTTTCACTGATCATGCTGCAATTAAATATTTGTTAACTAAGTTTGACTCCAAACCTAGGCTAATAACGTGGATACTGTTGTTGCAGGAGTTCGATTTAGAAATCAAGGACAAGAAAGGTTGTGAAAACAATGTAGCAGACCATCTTTCCTGACTAGTGAATAATGAGGTGACTACACTAGAACCAGAGCTATCAGAGGAATTCCCGGATGAAAAACTCCTATCAATCCAAGAAAGGCCATGGTTTGCAGACATGGCTAATTTTAAAGCTGCTGGAGTCATCCCTGAAGATCTAAATTGGCACCAAAGAAAAAAAATGATTAATGATGCCAAGTTGTATATGTGGGATGATCCTCATTTGTTCAAGATTGGGGCTGACAATTTGTTGAGACGGTGTGTTACAAAAGAGGAGGCCAAAGACATTCTATGGAATTGCCACAACTCACCCTACGGAGGTCATTTTAATGGTGAAAGGACAGCAGTTAAGGTCCTCCAGTCTGGGTTCTTTTGGCCTACCTTATTCAAGGATGCCTATGGATATGTACAGAGATGTGATAGCTGTCAAAGGAGTGGAAATATCTCCAAGAGACATGAGATGCCATAGTAGAACATTCAAGAAGTGGAAGTCTTTGATTGCTGGGGGATTGACTTTATAGGCCCTTTACCAACTTCATTTTCCAATGAGTACATCCTTTTGGCAGTGGAATATGTATCTAGATGGGTAGAGGCTATCCCAACACAAAAAGCGGATGCTAAAACAGTAATGGAGTTGATAATGTTAATTTTTACTTACATTCTAGTACCAAATTTGTTAACACATTCAACTCTTTTCTAACTTTCGACTTATGCAATCCTCAATTTAACTTCTCTTTTGTAAGTAAAGACACTTTGGTTACACATACAGGGTTATACATATTTAATCCTCATTTTTTGTGATTTTTTTGGATAGGTAATCATGTTGAAAGAAGCCATGTCAAAGAGAAGAAGCTGGATGGAACTCCAATGAAGCTAGCTGGCATTTTCAGTAGACCCGCGCTGAGCCCATAGCTTAGCTCGCTCAGCACACTAGATCGGGGAGTTGATGGAGAATTGGCATCGCGCTGGGCGTGCCCAATCATGCGCCCGGCGCGCCTTCTGTCATGCGCCCGGCGCGCCTTCCGTCACGCGCCAAGCGCGTATATTATCGCGCTGAGCGCGTCACTTAAAGAGTTGCGTAGATTGATATAATTTCTGGCTGAGCGCGAAGAAAAATGGATCTAGAAGCAGAACCAAACGAGGAGCAGAGCGTAGGTTTGAAGGGGAGAAGCTAGGGCTCATCTCTTCACCATTGTTTCTCATTGGTTTTCTTCCATTCTTACTCTTTTGGTGTATCTTGCTAATCTCATGGACATGGATTGCTAAAACCCCTTTGTTGGGGTTAGATGTAGCCAACTTGACTCTCATGTAACTTGTTTGAATATATATATATATATCTTCTTCATTCAAATGTTAGTATCATGTTCTTGTGCTTAATGCTTGTATGGAATGATCAACTATTACATGATTTGGGATTACTTTTGGTGTGGGAATATCATTGGTAATCATGTTTGAGAATGTGGTACCTTGTAAACTTGTGTCTAGGAATGGAACATGAGTTACTTATTGTTTGAAGCCCTTAAACTTAATGCAAGTGGATTTATTGAAATATTCAAGGGATTGATTTTTGGTAATGAAACTTAGGCTCTTTTAAACAAGGAATTGGAATTTGAGAAAATTAGTGGGCTAGCACTAATGTTTGAATGAGAAGGAATGTTTTTTTATGCATGAGATTAAAGTTGGTGAAATCTAACCCTAACATTTCATTCACATAAGTCAATCTCTAAAACCGCATTTCAAGTGTTTGATGCAAGTTCACTTTGTTTCATTTTGCTCTTTTTAGCTTAAAAATTACAATCCACCAAACATGAAATCATTCTTTAGTCTGTATTAGCTTAAATTCCACATATTGCCATTGTATTACTCAAGTCCCTTGGGAAGAACGACTATTACTTCTACTTAGTACTTGTGTGATTGGTTTGCTTGCCATATTGGAAGAAATCAGTTAACAGGGATGTGTGACGCAATTAACACGTATCACTTATGTTAGATGTGGTGTAGCCTTGGCATAGTGTTAATTGTAAGATTTGTGTGGATTATGAATGTAAATATGATTGTTGTTCTTCACAGTAATGACTAGGCTTGGCATGACCCTTGGGTAAGTGATGCTACAAGGACGGCATGACCTTGGCATAGTGTGGGATGTGTGAGGCAATTAACACGTATCACTTATGTCAAATGTGGCGTAGCCTTGGAATAGTGTTAATTGTAAGATTTGTGTGGATTATGAATGTGAATATGATTGTGGTTCCTCACACTAATGACCAGGGATGGCACGACCCTTGGGTAAGTGATGCTACAAGGACGGTGTGACCTTGGTGCAGTGTGGGATGTGTGAGGCAATTAACACATATCACTTATGTCAGATGTGGTGTAGCCTTGGCATAGTGTTAATTGTAAGATTTGTGTGGATTATGAATGTGAATATGATTGTGGTTCCTCACACTAATGACCCGAGATGGCACTAGCCTTGGGTAAGTGATGCTACATGGACGACGTAACCTTGGAATTGTGTGGGATGTGTGAGGCAATTAACACGTATCCATTATGCCAGATGTGGCATGGCCTTGGCATAGTGTTAATTG